CCGGGCTGGATTTGAACCCGCCACCTTAGGTGTATGTGGCTGGCGCCTTAGCCGCTTGAGCCACAGGCGCCGAGCTGGAAAATATATTTTTAATAAAAACATGTTAAAGCTGGGTGTGGGGGCTCACACCTGTAATCCTAGCACTTTGGGAGACCAAAGCCAGAGGATTCCTTGAGCTCAGGAGTTCGAAACCAGGCTGAGCAAGAGGGAGACCCTGTCTCTACTAAAAATAGAAAAAAATGAGTAGGGCATTGTGGCAGGTGCCTGTAGTCTCAGCTACTCAGGAGGCTGCATCAGGAGGATTGCTTAAAGCCAAGAGTTCAACGCCAGACTGGGCAACATAGACCTCGTCTCTAAAAAACTAAGTAACTAGCTGGTTGTGGCAAGGCACACCTGTAGGCCCAGCTACTTGGGAGACTTAAGAAGAAGGATTGTTTGAGCCCAGGAGTACTATACCCCATCTCAGAAAAAAGAAACATTTAACATAAAATTGCCATTTTAACCTTTTTTTTTTTTTTTTTGGGATAAGCCTCAAGCCATCACCCTGGGTACAGTGCTGTGGCGTCACAGCTCACAGTAACCTCCAACTCCTGGGCATAAGCGATTCTCTTGCCTCAGCCTCCCAAGTAGCTGGGACTACAGGCACCCACCACAATGCCCAACTATTTTTTGGTTGTAGTTGTCATTGTTGTTTGGCAGGCCCGAGCTGGATTTGAACTCGCTAGCTCTGGTGTATGTGGCTGGAGCCTTAGCTGCTTGAGCTACAGGCCCCAAGCCATTTTAACCATTTTAAGTGTAGAATTCAGTGATGTTACATATAGAGTGGACATAAAGTTCTTGTGCAATTTTAAATAGTTTAACATAGTGAATTGCACATGAAATTTATGTCCATTTTGTACATCTACAGTGTGGCACAACCATTACTATTATCTATTCCCAAAACTTTTTATCACCCAAACAGAAAAACTATACTCATTAAGCAATAACTCTCTATTCTTCCCTTCTCCCAGCCCCTGGTTACCTACTTTCTGTCTACTATGAATCTACTTTCTATCTCTATGATTTTTCCTATTCTATGTATTTCACATAAATAGAATCATACAATATTTGTTCTTGTGGCCTATTTCATTTAGCATAATAACTTCAAGGTTCATTCACATTGTGCATATAACAGAACTTTCTTTTGCAATTTCCTTTTGTAGCCAACCAATATTCTTTTTTTTTGTTTGTTTTTGTTTCTGAGACAGAGCCTCAAGCTGTCCCCCTGGGTAGAGTGCTGTGGCATCACAGCTCACAGCAACCTCCAACTCCTGGGCTCAAGCGAGTCTCCTGC